ATATATATACCTCGTATATAATATATAAATAATAATACATATAATATATTACACACACATATGTATATATTTAATTTATATACACTCTTTTCACACACACACACACACACACATATATATATATATATATATATATATATATATATATATATATATATATATATATATAATATATAAATAATAATACATATAATATGTTACAGTCACACATATATATATATATATATATATTTATTTTTATATACATACACTTTTCACACACAGACACACACATACACACACACACACACACATATATATATATATATATATGAATTGGGATCAAGTGTAGATCGGAATCTGACAAATTGATAGGATAAGGAACAAATAAAAAACATTTATAAAACTAACATGTTTTGCCTTAACTAAAGCTCAGAGAATGATATGGAGAAAAAAATAGAGAAAACGGCAAACATCGACCTTTGTGCACGCAAAAAAAAGGAATGTCACGAAAAAAAGCGATGATTAGAATTGTAATAAAATCTATCCATATGATGAATATGATTTTTAAATTTTTGTATTGCTTGTTTTTCATTGTTTAAGCAGACTTCTCGTGCATTTTGTCTTGTAAAGGGAGTGTTTGTGTGTCAATTATGTGTCAGTGTATCAGATAAACAAGAGAATCATGATATACTTATATACATAAATCTACACACGAACGCTGCTTTACAAGACATGCACTTAAAATCTGCTTAACCAATGAAAAAAACAACACAAAAATTAAAAATACGAAAGGTTTTTCTACATATCTCATTCTCTGATAAAGATTTAATAAAGGCAAATCATTTGTTCCATATCCTATCACACACACAAACACATACACACACACACACACACACACACACACACACACACACACATATATATATATATATATATGGAAGAAATTTATATATTAGACTAATAGTGGGTAATTAAATGACAAAATGTGATAAAAAAAATCCTACGTTATTCGTTTTGTCCCTAAGAGTTACTTTTCAGCAGGCAAGCGTATATCGGAATCTTTCCAGGACGGAATCTTGCCTGAAGAAGGAAACGTAAAAAAAAATCCTCCGATACTTTACAATTCGAACTAATTTCCCAATCCAGGCCGAAATATTGGATCCGGTTATCATCGTCATCGTGGTCGTCATCCAAAATAAAAAATTAAAAAAAAACATGAAAGTGGATTTTGCTGTTTCCGGTAGTTCAAAAACAATTTTTTTTTTTTTTTTTTTCTTTAGCGAAAATCATGAATAAGTATCTCGACCATGCCAGGAGCTGAGGAAGTTCTGGAACATAAAGTTAATAGTCGTGCCAACCATTAGCGGAGCACTGGAAACAGCCACTAAAATCTCAAGAAAAACTATGCAAGCAGCATCATTTCTGAAAACAGAAAGGATTTTGAGGAAAGTGCTAAAGCATGAAGGAGACTTGTTGTCCCTTAACCACCTGCATAAGTCATCAGTTACTACCGCTATAAACACACACACATACATATATATATAATTAAATAATAATTAATATATACATATATATCTATATATATATATATATAATTTAATAATAATCAATATATATATATATACATCTGTTTCAGGCTGGTTCAGAAACGCACCGGTGAAGAGACCTCAATGACATATTAACTAGTAGAGGGTTAGTCTTGATACTTTAATTCAATTTAAGTTTAATAATTATATTGAAGTTTTTGGCTCTTGTTTTTGAAGCTTGAGGACTCTTATGTAACGAAGGAATCATATTTTGAAAAAATAATTATAATTTACTTCTGTACTAATGTATTGAGCACTGTTTTTTTTTTAAATAAAATAAAAAATAGTAAAGAAATTCGGATTATTTACGTAACGTGTTCTTACCTATTTTTCTATATATTTACACACACACACACACATATATATATATATATATATATATATATATATATATATATATATATATATATTATTGTTTACTCAATACATTGCCTAAAATCAAACAATCTCATTCAGTAATATATATATATATATAGTATATATATACTAGATATATATACTATTGTTTACTCAATACATTGCCTAAAATCCAACGATCTCATTCAGTAATATATATATATATATATATATATATATATATATATATATATATATATAATATAAATATATATTGCTTACACAATACATTGCCTAAAATCCAACAATCTCATTCAGAAATATATATGTAGTATATACATATACTAGATATATATATACTATTGTTTACTCGATACATTGCCTAAATTCCACTCAAAATGAACGGTTTCTGAATGAGATTTTTATAAAAGCATAACGGGAAGAAATTCGTATTATGAGAATATGTAAGATCGATTACGTCTGAGCCTACAATTGAAGAGGTTAAAATCGTAGTGATCGAGTAAGCATCCTTTCAGGAGTCTGTTCCACAAAGTAACAGTCTTGGATAGAAGCTGAGTGGAACTTCCTCCTTGCCAATAAAATACAAAAGGAATGAGGATGAGTCGACCTCGTGTACTTCTCATAGCGGGTCTTTGCAATATCAATGATAGTGTTACGAGAGGCTAACAACGTCTATGAGGAAGGCGTTGATGGCTGAGAAATAATTCCTCAGTTGGACAATCTAGACTTAAAATAATGATAAAGATAAAGGTGGTAATAGTGCCTATTATTATTAGAACACTTGGGACGGTCCCAAAGATCTTTGAAAAAAAATGGGAAAAATAGGAAATCCTATGAGAAACTTAAAATATGCGGACATCCACGTTACTAAAAATCAATTAGAATACCGCGGAAAGTGCTTGAGTACTCAGAAGGTACGCTGGCTGCTTGATCCCTGGCGAGAAATACTAGATAAAACTCAACGAATAAAAAGAAGAAAAAAATAATGGAATAACAATTAGAAACAGAACTGAATCATGTTTTTAAGTGGGCGGATATACTGAGGAGAACGTCACGGATTTGCGGAGAGCTTCTGTCACGTGACGCCCATAACCTATAAAACAAAAGTCTGTAAAAAATGACGAATAAATAAGTCTGGGCTGCAATATTTCTAAGAGCATCTATTAACCCTGCTCAAGGTCACATAAAAAAACTTATGTTTAAAATACGAGTATAATAAAATTGCATAGTATCAAGTTTTGCCATTGATTAAAAACTTCTATGTCAGCAGAAAATATATATTTAGATATTAAAATATACCCGAATATATCTTCTTCTTCTTCTTCTTCTTCTTCTTCTTCTTCTTCTTCTAAGTGTCATGTCCCTTCAGGACGCTGGCGATCATGGCTCTCCACAATTTCCTTTGTAGCTCTTAGTAAATAATTTTTCTATCTCTCCTAAACCCTGTTCTGCCATCCATTTACACAAGCTCGCAAAGTAAATTATGCTTTGTTTTACCCTGTCTCTCTTGTTATCAATATACCCTATGAGTGTTAAATTTTCCAAGCCCTCTTTTCTCATTACATTCTCTAAAAATTTCAACTGTTTCTTTTTTATGTTAAATATAGGTGTCCTTTTCGTCTCTACTTTCTCTAGAACGTCGTCGTTGGTCGCATAATCGGTCTATGGTATCCTCAGCATCCTTCTGTAGAACCACATTTCTGTTGCTTCAAGTTTCTTCTTCATCTGTAAGGAGGCTGTCTAGCATTTACTGCCATATAGAAGGAGCGACATTACTTAACAGTTCAGTAATCTTCTTTTTTTTTTGTTTCTAACAACATTTTCCTGTTTCTTAATAATTTGCTTAGCTTTTGGAAGGCATCTTTCGCTATCCCGATGCACCTGTGATTTTCGGTATTGCCCTTTCTGTTCACTGTTAAAATGCTTCCTAGAGATTTAGATTGTTGTAATTACTCGATTTTAGTATCTCCAGTTTCTAATTTGCATTCTGGGACGTTTCTTCTGCTGATAACCATTCATTCTGTCTTCTTGAAATTGATGCTTAGTCCTTTCTTCTCGCTTTCCTTCACTGCCTTCTGTGGCAGTTCTTGTACTTTTCCTTCTGTCAATACTGTGTCATCTGCATATTTTATAATGTTAAGATTTTAGCCACCAATAATGAATCTTGATAGGACTTCTAATTCTCTCAGAATCGCCTCACTGTATAGGTTGAATAGGTCCGACGAGAAGGCACATCCTTGTCTTACATCCCTTCCTATTCCTGTAAATTTACTGAATGCATAAGATAAAATAGTAATAGCAACTAATATACGACAAATGAAAATATATTAGATATAGTATACTACGGAACTTTAATACAGTTCTATCTTTTTTATGCTATATATATATATACTTTATATAGTTTAATATCAAATCAAGAAAGCACTCTACTGATGATGTTCGAGTAGTGAATATACGAAAAGTGAAAACAAATTCCATGCTTGTCTGTTACGTTCACTTTGGCCCAAATAGCATTGAGGCAGGCATGAACCCATCTCTTACCACTAAAATTATGACTTAAATAACAAATTGGATTCTCTAGCCATGGATGACAAACAGGCGAAACCACTCTACTGTCTTTCCCAAGAATACATGGTAATTCACTTATTACTTTATTAAGAAAAAGAATGTGTGGAGAGCCATGATCGCCTACGTCCTGAATTGATGTGGCATTGAATTAAGAGAAAACCCATTAAATAACAGGGTAGACTTGTTTTTCTAGCCTTAGATGGTATTCAATCTAAGAGGATGAAAAGTCTGAATTCGAAACCGTAGAGAATACAACGAGAAGCTACTTAACTCTCTTTTCCGAAGAATGCATGGCAATTCAGAGATAATAAAGAAAAGGAAATCGTGGAGAATCATGATCGCCTACGTTTTGAAGCGAGATGGCAATTAAAAAATACTGCAGATAAAACCATATCAAAATTTAGTATACAAGAAATAAATCTTTCATATTGTTTACCAGAAATTAAAGGCAAAAATTAAAATGAAATTACAACGTGATAAAATTCAATTTTAAATAATTTTTCGTCCTTATTTTCTGAGAGGATCTAGGACAAGATAGATAGATAGATAGATAGATAGATAGATAGATAGATAGATAGATAGATAGAATAATGAAAGGAGGGTTGTCAATAGATGATGAAAAGACTTAGATAGATAGATAGATAGATAGATAGATAGATAGATAGATAGATAGATAGATAGTTCCTTTTCAGCTGTTCAACCATGCATTGTAAGACAAACAGTACACACACACACAAAGAAACAGAAAAAAACACATTTCAATTTTATATTTAACAAGCCAAGGAAGAAAATAAAAAATCTTGAAGTAAAAATGGATTCCTACCACCAGGATTTTTTTCTTTCTTTTTTTTTTGTATTCATTTCACCCCAAGCACGGCAATAAAGCCACTAGGATGCAGGGCATAGCTAAGTGTGAGAGAATATGAGTAAAAAAAAAAAAAAAAAAAGACATTATTAAGGAGAGAGAACAATAAAAGAACAAGAATGACGAAGGCAGAAGATAACGATTGATATTGCATTTAAACTTTTGAAAATCAATATTGATCGGAAAGCAAGAAGCCAGAAGAGAGGTCCACAAGTGAGAAGTGCAATAGAAGAAACTGTTAGCATAGAACTTACGGTTTACATCTAGCCATTTCAACTCTAAAAGGATGTGACTTTGCCGCTGATCCAGTACAACGTTAAAAGTCTAGGGACCATAGAGGAAAATTCATTAGAACAAGTATCATGAAAATATTTATAGAAAAGGCACAGGGAAGCTACGTTGGGGTGGTGGGTAAGTGACTGAAGCCGAGATGCCAGATCAGGACCATTAACATTTTATCAAGAATCTCTAAATAGATAATTGTCAGATATTATTAATCTAAAGGCAGTGAATTTAACAATAATCAGCTAAAACTGTTTGCTCAAATGCTTTCTGTATTAATTTATCGATTTTTTTAGCTTATATAATCGCTCAAAAATTATTGCAATGACCAAGTCATTTTAAAATTGCATTTTACTCATAAAATATAATAAAAACTTCTATTTTTTTTTTATATAATCTCACATGCATTCTGAACATTAATCTAAGCAAACAAGAGTGTGTTCACCGTCGAATGATTATGATTTCTACGTCACCAGAAGTGTCCAGTACATCAGAGAAGGCAAATTTGGTGACCTAGAAAAAGGGAATCGCTCACAATTTTCATTGGAGATCAAGTGACACCAAGTATTTTCATTCCTTTGGCCTTATCATTAGATCAGTAATAACAAAACTGTACATCCAAATCGAAACAATGACTTTTCCAATTGTTATTCCAGGGGTAAATGGCATGAAAATAATCCATGTTTCTGTAATTCTACAGGTTTTTGCGGCGTTGGATGGAGGGGTGGTATGTTGCACGTCCAAAACGAAAAAGGCTTTGCCAAATTAATCGCAAAGAAACCTTTTTTATTCTAAGTGAACGGTGGAGTTATTGATAGCGGCTCGGGTTGAGGAATCGGAGAGCTGAGTTCGAATTCCAGTCGAATTCATTACATTTATTTACGTGGTAATACGCTTGGTTCTATAGCCTTGTATGACAACTGGTCTACCGCAGGAAGCACTGGCAACCTACTGCGGAAAAAAAAAATCTGCCTCGTCAGTCATGTATTGAAAGGTGCATGATCGCCTAAGTATCACGCATGCCACATAACTGACTGATTGGATTACATTCCTCACAGGGAACCCAAAACTCGAGGCTTTGTGCCAGACGAAACCCCAACTTACTAAATATCTATAAATGTTTTCACATTTACATATATACATATATATTTACTCAAGCATGCACATATATATATATATATATATATATATATATATATATATATATATGTGTGTGTTTGTGTATATATATATATGTGCGTGGGTGGGTGGGTGTGTGTATGCATATATATATACCTGGATATAAGTGCGTCATTACAAAAAAAATATAGAGAAAAACAATCTATTTGAAAAATTAACTTTAATTTTTTTTTTTTTTTTTTTGTCTTCAAATAACATCAAAAATAAGATAAGAAAATACGGGTGGATTTTTTAAGAGATGCATATCAATTTTCTTTTTCATACGTTGATTGAAAATGATTCCGCAAGAGACGCGCAATGCTTAACTTATGGCATATATATATATATATATATATATATATATATATATATATATATATATATATATATATATATATGGGTTTGCGTTTAGGTCCATTTTTGTTTTGTTTTTGTTTTATATTTTGTTTTTGTTTTTTCTTCACATACTTGGTTTCAGCAACGATCGTTTTGTTTGTTTATTAATTCGATCTCTGTCTTATTTCTTTAACTCACGAACGATTAATCAGGTCGAAAGCAAAAAATGATTGGAATAACAATTCTGATCGTTGATAAACAAATATCCTCCTTCTCATGAGCCTGTCTTACCGGGACGACGCCTTACTAATTAGTCTTCGAAAGCTAAGCAGCTAGCGTCATTCAAATGTAGGCATATAATCATGGGCTTCAGCTAGGGAGGTGCGGCCAAACAGCTCCTGAATTCCTCAAAATCCCGGAAGGATTAATTAGGTCATCAAAACTTATATTCGTTTATTTATACGGACACGCAATAAACGATATAACGTTGCATGCTTTATGTAACCTTGTTAAATCCTTTAGTGCCGCTCTCTCATTGTAAATGTAGAGGCTTGAACCCCTCACTTTGGAAATGTAAGGGCTTGACCCCTCACTTTGGAAATGTAAGGGCTTGACCCCCTCACCGTGTAAAAATGACAGCGAATGCCCGTGCGTGAAATCATCGCCAAACCAGCCAAATTGATATCGAAACATAACAAAAAAAACAAGAAAAATTAAAATTAACAACAGGTAGCTTCACCTTGAAGCAGTGGTTAGCAAGGTAGTGTCTCAGTGTGATCGCGTTTTATTTGTGCCCTTGTGCCAGACTTATAAATACTGATCTTCACAGCAAGGAAAGTAAGTTCATATGCTGGTCTTACTTAACCATTACCACAATAATTAGTTTGATCTTCACTGAATGCTCTATATTCCTGGCCTTGTGTCAAACTAAGTTAAACGAAACATTTTGTCGTAGAGTATGCTAAGCTCATTTCGCCATTACTACAGAAGTGAATTCGCTCCTCACTGGGTGCTCTATACTACCTTGCGCCAGACTTGGACTATGCTTTATAAATATTGATACTCTGAATAGCTTGTCAGGAGTAGTGGTCAGTACAATCATCTTGCTTAACCATTACTGCTAAAGTGAGTTCAATTCTTATTAGGTAGCGCACAATTATGGCCTTGGGCCAGACTTAACTGAGAAAATAATTAAAATCATACAAAATTAATAAACAAAAATCGAATCGTGTCGTCAACCAAGTATCCGTATAATATTTACAAACACGCTCATATATATATATATATATATATATATATATATATATATATATATATATATATATATATATATATATATATATATCAGACTAATAGTGGGTAACTGAATAAGAAAATGAAAATTTAAAAAAAACTCCTACGTTATGCGTTTCGACCCAAACGGGGACTTCTTCAGACTGATAATTGTTTTATAGACGAAGTCAGTTTTATATACAGAAGTGAGGTGGGGAGGAGAAATACAACAAAAGTATATTAGAATTTTATAACGAAAAACGATAACGATGCTTCGTTTTAATTTTAAAACCATTATTATAAAATAATAGATAAAGCCATTACTAGTCTAAAGAAGTCCCTGTCAGGGACGAAACACGTGAAATAGGATTTTCTTCTTTCAATTATATATATATATATATATATATATATATATATATATATGAAAAATATAAGGTATATTTATATGGAAATGCGTGCGTTTTTATGCACCTGTAATTTGGCGTTAGGATGTGGCCCGTTTCCTGTGCACTTTCAAATGTTTAGAAAGATGGTCCGACCGTGAGAAGCGTTTCTCGCACAGTTTACACTGATAGGGTTTGATCCCGGAATGCGACCGTTTGTGTCGGGCCAACTCGTCTGAACGCGAGAATCGCCAGCCGCAGCCGGGCCACGTGCACTCAAAGGGTTTCTCACCTGTGTGCCGTCTCAGGTGAGCTTTCAGGTGCGAACTTTTGCTGTATACCTTGTTGCAGTCAGCAAATGTGCAATGATAGATTTTCTCCTCGCTCTTATCCTTGACGACACCACCGTTAGGGCTGACCCGGCTCGAGCCTGTATTCAGGCTCCGAGGTCCCCGAGACTTCCCTAGATTGGTACTGTCAATGTTACTACTAAGCAAACAGCTGCTGGTGATGTCATTTTGCATGAGAACAAGTTTAGGGTGGGTAGATTTTGCTGCCTGATTTTTAGCTGAAGAGACCCGTCCGTTGTTACGGTGAGCTGTTGAGCCTTTCGGGGCCCTCATTGTCGAAGTTGATGAATTGAAATCCGATGAAAGGTTCAAGTTATTATTATACTGATTTCTGTTCTTGTCGCTGGTCTGTTCTTTTGAGTTTCTTTGGATCAGAGAATTTATTAACCTGTCCGCCCGTGCAGAATTACACACTCGTTCTTTCATAACTTTGTTCTTTTTCGAGCCAGACGGGCGATTGCGTTGGTTAACATACGTTTGCTGCAAAGAGGGAAATAATCCAATTCCACCTGTGTATAAAGATGTGGAAGACTCCAGTAAAGGTTCCGATAAATTTTGCATTAAGTTTGGAAGACCCACTCCAAGCACAATAAGTTCATTCTCAGATAAAGAAAACACTTCATCATAACCACTATCCGAATTATCGAGAGAATCCCCTGCACTACCACCGAAACTACTACTACTACTGCTACAGTTAAATTCCATCGACAGGACCGAAGATGTGTCCGAAGTACTGGACACGGAGCTTTGCGAGCAGTCCAGTTCGAGCGTTGAAGGTGATGCTGGTGAGGGGATTCCAGATGAAGATGGTGAAGAAGATCCTATAACGGTTGAAGTCATCATGGCCGAAGTCTGCACACTCTGGCAACCTACCAAGGCTGCAGAACCTGACCCCTCGTCGTGCTGGAACCGGGAAGAGTTCGTGACTGGATCGATCGTGTCGGCTAGTCCTTGCGAAAAGAGGTACTCCAAGTAGACATCGTCTTCGAGCCCATCTCGGCTCCAGACCGTACCCAGGGGGCTAACGCAACGTAGGTCAGCTCCCAGCGAGCCAGGGTCGCACTCGTCTCGGCAACTCGAGTTGAGACGCTGCAATGTATATTGCTCGCGTTCTAGACTTGAACATAAAGGCATGAAGTCCTCCATCATGGTGTCGCCGCAAGGGGTCCTTCCAACGACAAACAACGGTCACTTTAAAGCCGCTAATTGTGATTCTGTGAACTCTTCTTATAATGAAATTAAAAAAAAGAGAAGAAAAAAGTTGAGGAAAGTAAATAATGACCGAATCTGTTAAAACTGGTGCGTGTGGAACGTTCGTAAAATTTTGATAACCGATTGTATGACACTTTTGTTGTCGAAGTGTTGATATGGGTTTGTTTTTTAGGGTTTATTTTCCCCAGAATATTCCAAAACATAGGAGGTAATTTTCCTTTTTGTTTACTTTTCTCTCAGGTTAGGTAATATTGTTTTAGGATATAAGCCATATGTAAATGTGTCCCTAAGTACCCGATTTTCATGGTCATAACTGTGAGGTTGTCATACTCGAAAAAGTACTTAGATTTTTTTTTTCTGATGAGAAAAAGATACGAAGTTTTGAATTTTGTATTAAATTTAAAAACATTGAAAGATAAACATCGAAATATCAAGTTAGTTCTAGGATGAGAGTAATTTTAAGTTTGTTTTTGTTTTTAGTTTGTTTGTTTTTTTTTGTTTGTTTTTTTTTGTTTTTTTTAATTTTAAGTTACTTTTCTTTTCTTCTTCTTCTTTTGAGTCAATAGAAAAATCCTATAGACTTTTTTAAGTAGTAAAAAGATGCACAAGTGAAAATTACGAAATTGTGTCTGGAATATGAAAAGGGTGATAAACAAATATTTTTTTTGTTTTGTTGCTTTGAGAATCGTGTATCGTCTGTTATCCGAGTTATACGTGTTTGCATTTGGAAGGCAACGCAACACGATCGTGTTTAAATGTGCTTGTATGTGTGTGTGTGTGTGTGTGTGCGTGCGCGCGCACGCGCGTGTATGGTGTTTATAAGAGAATTGCGGGTGTATACCTCGGTATTTAAAAAAAAACAAAAAAATGCACAACAGATCTTGTGACGATCATGTGTGCGACTGGGTTTTTTTTGTTGTTGTTGTTTTTGGGGGTTTTTTTTTTTCTTTTTTGGTCGGGTATTTTGCGTCGTGAAGAATAAGTTCCGTCAAAAAAACAACAGCCGATCTGAAATCTTAAAAAAACATTTTCTATCTGTCCTTATTTTTCTTTTTTCTTTTTCTTTTTTTTACTCTCTCTCTCTCTCTCTATATATATATATAGAGAGATATATATATATTTATCTTTCTATCTATATTTCTCTGTGCCTCTCTTTAGGAAATTGTACGTTTTTTTTTTCTTTCTTTCTTATTTGCTTCATAACTCTCAAACATTTGCCACTTGTTTGTTGAAATTTTTAAAAGCCGAGAGACAAGTAAAGTTTTTGGTGTTGCCTCAAGTGGTTGTTACTCGTGGTGGGACAATCTTTCTTTGCGATCCCCGGAGCTGTGTCATATGTGTGTTATAGCAAGCGGGAGTCGTAGTAGTAATAATAATGAATGCGAGTGAAATACTTGTAGTAGAAGTCGCAATGATGGTGGTGGTGGTGGTGTTGGTGGTGGTGGTGGTGGTGTTGGTGGTGGTGATGGTTGTGGTGGTGGTGAAAAAATGTTTTTTCCACTATCATGAGTAGCCGTAGTAGAACTGATGACAGTCCTATCACCAGTGGTGCTGGTGGTGATGATGGTCGTGGTGGTGAGTATAGTAGTAGTAGTAATAGTAGTAGTAGTAGTAGTAGTAGTACAGCACAACACACAGCGCAACTTGGATGAATTTGAATGGATGTATTTTTTCTGTATGTTTCAGTGTTTATGGTGGCGGGGGTGGGGGATAGTTCTGAATAGACAACCACTTGATTCAAAATAATCCGAGAATTACTTTTTTTGTCAGTTTCTTTGTTGCATTGTTTGGGTTTTTTCTTCTTTGTTTTTGTTTTTTTTTCTTTTCCTTTTTTTTTCTTTCTTTTTTTGAACACGTTTATGTGTGCGCACGTATGCGTGAAAATTGGGTTTTTCTTCTCAAATCTTCAGCAATGATGTTTAATTTGTAGAAATGCACATTTAACTTTGAGTTTCCGTCTGAAATTTTTCAATTCCATATTTAAAAAAAAAAAATACATGTATATGATACGAAAGTATCTATATATCACTATTCCTGTCTGCCTGTTTCTGTATTAAGATAGATAGATAGATAGATAGATAGATAGATAGATAGATAGATAGATAGATAGATAGATATGGACAGGCTGTGATAGGTGGATAGTTAGATAGAACAGATTGACCTCAATGTCCACTTTATATATATATATATATATATATGTGTGTGTGTGTGCACGCGGGTGAGAAAACACTTTTTCTACATCACCAGTTACGTTCACTTCAAAAACCTGGGCGAATTACCCAGCTGTTTATAGTGGACTCTATAGAGAATTTCATGTCAAATGCAATGAATAAGCAATTCGCTCGTTTCAAGAAAATTTTGTTCTTTTATTTATTTATTTATTTATTTTTCCCCAATTTAAAAATGGAATATACTGAATGCCAAAAATGTTTTATAGCCAAAACTAAAACATGTTTATACTAGAAATAGTGTTTTATAGGAATTCTTAAATTACGATTGGCTCGCTAAATGAATAAACTTTTAATTGTAAGATGTGTTTGCTTACCTATAAATTAAAAAAAACGGTTTCATTTAGGATCAAGTAGGGCAAGGCAATAGATCGGCTTTTATTTATTTTGTTAAAATATCCAGGAAGTATTGAACATAAAAAAGAAAATTCGGAGTAATAAAAAGTTTTAAGATATTTTTGTAAATACAACAATGAAATTGAAAAAATATTCAAAAATTTCTGCCAATTTTAACGGCACGAGTAAATTATTTAAAAATTAATTTAAAAAAAAAACACTAAATGCTTCCTTAGATAAGTCTTCATACGTCAGGTGAGGGCGCATGTCATTAGAAACTCACCTGATATAGACTCCAAAATCACGTGCAGTACACACACATTCACACACACATATATATATATATATATGTATGTATACACGCACACATTAATGCTGGAAAAATTATCTAACAATACGGATTTAAATCTAATAGAAAATATATGATGAAAATATTTTAAATGCTCCGCGGGAAGACACCATCGACCCAAAGAAGATATATGAAAGACCTTTCGGGGAAATTGGAAAGAATTTGATAAAGAATATTTCTTTAAATTAGTGAAATTATAAATAAAATATATGTAAATGAACGATTTCTACCAAAATATACAGTTTTTATTAGATAGATAGATAGATAGATAGATAGATAGATAGATAGATAGATAGATAGATAGATAGATAGATAGATAGATATGTGTGTGTTTGTGTTTATATATATATATATATATATATATATATATATATATATATATATATATATATATATACAAATACACACCGAGAAATACAAACAAATACAATAAAATTACATTTCAGACTAGTCACATCACATTACATTGCATCTAGACATGATTCTGTTGTTAATATTTCGGTCTCTCACGTGTTACGACGTCATGGAACCGCATCAGGAAATTTACGATCTGGGTTTGTAAACCCGCAACCTTTATGGTCGCATAGCAATCTTTTATACCAACATAACAGAATATCATCTTTGATGGTGAATTTCTTTGTTTAAGTATCCGTATAACCACTCCGAAGATGGCTCATTTGAGCCGAAAGATTACAGCAAGGATTAGCTTCATAAGAAATATACAAATTTTGGACAATCTTTGTCATTATTTTCACCCGAAATTAAAGCAACCATACTAAGTTTAGAATAACTCATGATCAGATATAATAGACATTCATTATCTGTTATATTTAACAATATATATATATATATATATATATGTGTGTGTGTGTGTCTGTATATATATATATATATATATATATATATATATATATATATATATATATATATATATATATATATATATATATATATATATATATATATATAATTGCATAATATTTAAATGCAACGTCTATATCTATCTTCTTGAATCCTGTTCCTCTTTTAACCTTTCCTCGGTACCCTCTGCGTACTAGTGGCACTCCTGCCTGGCTTGGGGCGAAATGATTAAAAATATATAAATAAAAATCTTATATATATATATATATATATATATATATATATATATATAGTGCAAAAGCGTGAAACTTAGGTTTCAAACTAATATCCATACAACTGAATATTTTAGCGCGATCACAGATAATGAGCACTTTCTACTAAGTACCGCGCATATATATATATATATATATATATATATATATATATATATATATATATATATATATATAGAGAGAGAGAGAGAGAGAGAGAGAAATATTATGTATTCAAAAATTCTAACATAAATATGTTATAAAATCACTACAAAAATAGCCATTTTGTTTCAACACTTCTGGTGCCTTCTCAGACGATGGTGTTGAATGTAGAATAAAGAGTTTCCTTTATTATATGATATATTAACTCTTTATTCTACTTTCAACATCATCACTTGAGTAGATACCAGAATAACTATTTTCGTAGGGACCTTATAACATGTTTATGTTATAATTTTGAAATAAATTATATATATATATATATATATATATATATATATATATATATATATATATATATATATATATATATATATATATATATATATTAAACGCTATTTGGTTGAATTAGAAACAATTTGATGAAGAATATTTCTTTAAATTAGTGAAATTCATACAGGAAAGAATTAGTCATAAAAACACAACGCATTAATTCTATTTTTGTCGATGAATTCGATAATTTATTCCACAATATTGGATTATTGCATATTTTCTTCCACATTCGTTTGAATAAAATTGTACCAGAAATTTAAATAATTTGGTCTATTTTGTTTAAGATATATTTTATGAAGCCAGCTGTTAAATAAAAATGTTTTGTCTCTTATCTGTTATTAGTTTATTTATTGTTAAACACAAAACAAAAAAAAAACTTATGTGAACATCATCTAAGTGTGATAATTCCAAAATTTTTAGCAGGGGTTCAATGATCAACACACACTCAAGTTTGCTTATCACATGATAATCGGATCTCCTCGCTTGAGATCGGTTTACGCGCGTGCTTTTGTGTTTCTCCGTGTGTACGTATATAAGTATGTATGTGTGCTATACGTTTGCTGTCTGAAGACCACCATAGGCAGCTTGATCTGACATGTACAGATTGTAGTAGAGTGTGTTTGTTGATGCTTGATCTAAGGAGTCACTTGAGAGCGCATCGACGGGGGGGTGCAATTCACTATAAAACCGTAGGGCAACTGAAATGTGATATTTGTGGTAAGATATGCGGGCCCAGAAGCGGTTTCACGCGGCATCTTAAATTGCATGATAATGTACCACATTGGTACACTGTTGGAGCTTTTAAGCTGTTTGTGCCAGAGGATATAAGTCCCTTGCTGGGCTAAAGAGCCACTTTCGTTCAGCACATCGGTAGATATTCTCCAAAAAGATATGTAGCAATGGCCGTACTCGGACATGAGTTGCTAACCACCATGTGTGTTATACGTTCGCTTTCTAACCGTGAAACCCCGGGTTCGAATCTCACCACGGTTGATTTGTCAGGAAGGAGATTTCCTGATGTTATCGGTCTGGAGGGGGCGATCTCAGCGTGCGGCTTTGAAAAGTGCCTGAAAACCATACCACGGGTTGAATCAAGCCTTGTGAGTGAGTTGTGCTAGCACGAAGTCACAAGTCATCGTGACCAACGGTTTGAGTGTGCTGGCCGTGTTCTGATTATTGATCACGCTTGATAACGCCCTTCTCTCCCAGAGACTGTAACTAAGGTCTACTCAGCATAGTTGTATAAACCCCAGGTGAGCTCTGTGCCTGTTGAACGCACACAAAAGTGCCTGGCGAGCGTCTGGAATAGGGATTGGTTAGCCGCCCTAGTAGACTGTTATCCTCGAAGCTATTTATATATATATATATATATATATATATATATATATATATATATATATATATATATATGTATATCCATATATTTGCTTACATATATATGTATTATACACAATGGCCGTGTAGTTATTTTCCAAGCACACCTCTTCTTCTAAGGCGGTTAGCTAATCCCTGTTGCAGACGTATGTTCTGTCACATTTGTGTTTGGTCAACACCTAAGGAGCCAGCTATCGTTTATATTGCATCTAGACTGAGCAGAGCTTAGGTAAATTTTATGGGAGAGAGCGCGTGTGATCAGCAGTTGAACAAGGTCAGTAGATAGATAGATAGATAGATAGATAGATAGATAGATAGATTCACTGAGATAGATAGATAGATAGATAGATAGATAGATAGATAGATAGATGATGATAGATAGATAGATAGATAGATAGATAGATAGATAGATAGATAGATAGATAGATAGATAGATAGATGGATTTTTAAGTCTGTCGGAGTTACCTCCTCCTCCTATCCTTGAACTGGCAGAGGAACGGGTCATTTGACCTTGACCTCTCATTCATGCTTTAAACTCTTAACACGTCAGAGGGAAGCAAATTTCTTTTTTATTAGGCTATTTTACAAACCTAGGTGTAATATACATCTAGTCATTTTTAGACCATAGTTATCTTTAGCTAACCTTGTAGTTTTTTTTTATAGAGACTTTTCGGTTAGCTTAGCCAATTTCTCTTGCTGGTTCCCTCGACACAAGACAGTGATTTTCCCAAGCTTTGAGGAGGCTGTCGGCGGCCGCAACGGTCGTCTATGCAGGCCCTTGGCCATCATTGGCCAAATGGAACTCGGGCTGTGTTTAAGTTACGCTCCCATTTTTTTTTCTGCCAACTTGACGATAGTTGGGAAGCCTCTCTCTTCCTTCCCAACACGTCAAGTTGGCATCCAGGCAATGACAAACAACGTTGGCAACACGAACTACAGCAACAAGTTGGCACCCCCTGGCAACGACTCAGCTTCAACAACCAACAAAGATCATCCTGGCATCATCAACATCAACAACCAGCGATCATCCTGGCAGCAAACATCAGCTTCAACCCCCAACAACGATGATCCAGCAACCGCCAACCTCGACCATCAATGCCTGCTTTAAAACTCCTGCAGTATCCAGCATGCAGCATCCGGCTCACCTCCTGCAGCATCCGGATCCTGCAGATCCAGCTCACCCCTGCAGCATCCGAATCACTCCTGCAGTTTCCAGCTCACTCCTGCAGTTTCCGGCTACTCCTGCAGTTTCCGGCTCACTCCTGCAGTTTAGACCCTGCAGCATCCGGACTCCTGCAGTTTCCAGATGCAGCATCCAGCATCCACCGATCCGACCATCTTCATTTCCTTTTCCTTTCAGAATAAATATATATCATATATATCCTCGGTCTGTCGTCCATATTGTTTCACGGTCAGATTTAACGTCTTCAAAAATAGATAGACCCTCGTTCACCTTTCCGTGATACGGGGCCATGGATTTTAAGTCTTAAATGATGCTTTCTGATCCTTTTCGGAATTTTGTTTTTCTTGCATTAGCAGGTAACCATGAATTAGTATATATTAGTATTATATTATTTGCGGTGAAAAACACATTGATTTGGAAATTCTTGTAAAAATCAAATAATTGTCACATTATAATTAAACTTTTAGGACTTATTTACAAATGAATTAAATCTGTTACCCTTCACTTATTTAATTTTAAGAAATTTCGAGAAATTCATTTTTGAATTAATTAATTATACGCATATCTTATTGGAGAATTTAAATCAATATTTTTTCATTTTTATTTATTTATTTATTGTAAAACAGGAACCCCAGTTACTGAAAATCTGCTCTGAATCGTAAAATAAAAAATGCAACAAAACTAAAACATTATTTAATTACAAAATTTCTTAATTGCTTTTATGAGTGAGATGTATTATGGACACTATTTTTAAAAAAAAAAAATTCGATGAATAATGAATTTTTACGAGAATTGTTTAAATTTTTAATTTTAAATTATGTTTCAAACCTTTTCAAATTCTGTATAAATTTGTACCGGTTAGGTGATATTGTCATTAAACCAAAACTATATTTACGAATCATAAATAGAAAAGCTTACTACAATTCAGCAACCCCCAATATTTTAAAAAGGTAAATATATATATATATGGAGACAGAGAGACAAAGACAGACACACTAATCTAAAAACGAACAAAAGAATCTTCGAATAGGCCCAAGGATTGAACTCACTGAAAATGTTTTTTTTTTTTTCCCGGCCATTTCACTAACCACTGCGCTACAATAGTGAACAGGTGTCGACCGAAGAAGCAACAAAAGAAATAAAAAAAAGTATTAATCATCAGACATCGGAAGTGGGACAAAACTAATCGTAGTGAGTAAGGCTTATTGAACAAGTTATCTACCCCCAACTAATAATATAAAAGTTATATATCATAAGCTAGTTAAAAGTTCCCAGCGCTTTTTCTCCTAGAGACAGAAAACTGTGGAAAGGGGTGGGGGGAGAAAACGATTTTTCGCAGGAAACTTTTGTATACGTCTGATATATTAAATTTTGTCAGCTCCCTCTACGTGTGAAATTGGCACGATATAACCCAGTATTACCTGCTACGTGGCTACGTCATCGGTAACTAAACCGGTTCCCCCACCAGGCTTTTCTAATGAGCAGTGTATGTATCTTCAGTAGTTAGACGATCGTAGCTCTCAAAGATTCATTCTCTTTATTATCTGTGACTTTCCATGCAACATTGAGAAAGATACTGGAGTAGTTCCCACTTGTTTTTTCCATGTTTGGAATTAAAGGGTGGTGTAATCGATAGCACCTCGGTATGTGAAATCGGAGAGCAGGGTTCGAATTCCAATCGTGTACATTACATTCACTTACGCGCAAATATCTTTTGGAAAGTTATGACTCCATCTCCTACCCCAAGCTATGGATTAAAAAGTAGGACTAGTATCTTCGGAAATCATTGTTATTCTCAAAATTGTTAATGCGATATTCATTCGGAAAAAAAAAAAAAAAAAAGTTTTAAAAATCCAAAGTTTGTTTCGTCTTTAAAATAACCCACAAAGGGTTGATAAACCGTAAAAAAACAAATCAAACAATAAATCAATTTCTAGCGGGGAAGGTGGTTAGACACCGAACCAGGATTAAAAACAAGACCTATCAAGTGACGGATAGGCCTTCTTGTGGGGTCAACGGCTATCTAGGTCCTGTGGGGGTAGAATGGCCTCTATATCTATCGATGGAGCCAGTGCAGCGAAGACGTGGCATAGCTGCGCTGAGAGCATCCTTGATTGAAGTCAACGGCCAGGATTAAAGTTCTCTCTGATGGAATGAACGGCCACATGTCTTTGACCAAGGCGAGTCTTCAAGTTGATGGACGCCGGCTGTGGTTTTGAACTGATGAGGGATGTGCTCCGCCAGGTCCACTTTCCACGCATGAAATATGACTTTCAACCTAGAAATGAGGAGGGAATTGATCAGGTGCTCAGCTGCGCAGCCACCCTATGACCAAATAAAAAATAAGTTCAAATAAGCGATTATTTACTGTTTAATTGCCTTAATCCAAACAACTTCTTCGCTTTTCTTTTAGTATCCAGTAATCTACAATCGTCCGATGCAAACGAAGAAAAAAATCAACCCTTTTTATTTAACTCTGACAAAATTTAGCTTTTCTTAAAGAAAAGGAATCATATAAACATTTTTTTCACATGGCTTCCTCCGAAAGTAATGGCTCCTATTTTATTATGTTTGCACACGATTTCATGTTGTTAGTATGTCAGCCAATATTGAAACTGCACGCTAGTAAGCCATTGTTGTTTGTTTGTTTGTTTGTTTTTGTTTTTTGTTTTGTTTTGTTTTTTTACTCTGTTACAGTACTCTGGTAAAATAATGTCTGACATGAAAATGTACTCGAAACAGACTCGCGTTACCTAATTCCTGCATGCAGAAAAAGCATTGATGAATGTTTACAGAGTTCAAACAGCGGATTGCGAGCACAGTGAGGCAGTGGGTAATGCATTTTATCGATATGTGGGTCGCCTCTATTTGTACAGATTTTTATGAGTATACAAGTTTTTAATCATCCCTGATGAAAATGCATAACTAACAGTCGTGACTATATAGAAAATACTGTTTTATTGCCGAAAACTTGCTCAATCTGACAATGTTGTTACACCCCTTGTATCTGTTGTTCCGATGGAAATAAGTAGGGGGCATTGCTTTCAACGTATCAATTAATTTAAAAATAATAAGCTATCTTAATTAATTTGATTACATAAAATCGGGTTTATTATTTTTATTTTTAAAATATTATATTGTTTTTAAACTATTAATAGTTATGGTAATGGCAACATTAGCCGTTTCCGTATAAGGAAACATTCGGCATTCATTGACCGAGCAGCCAGTGTCACTGTCGGCGGAAATTTATAAAATCTTTCACTTCAAGCAATTTCTCGGGAAAATAGGTTTCTCAACTCCAGTAGCTGTTATCGCTCTTTCCAGTATTGATGGGTCGTTTCCTTCTTAACTTTTCGTTTGAAATAGTGTCAAATTATGTTTATTATTTTCTCTTCCAGTTACATGTGATACGCATTTTAGTTGTTGCTGATGTTGTAATGCATCAAGTGATGTCGTTTGTGTGGTTTGGCGGTGGTGGTAAGACAAGAGAATAAACAATCAAAAGGGTAAAGAAAAGAACAAGAAAACCAAAAGAGAAGAAGAAAAAGAAGAATTTTAAAATTCTAAACATCAATTACAAGGAGACAGAATTCATGGTTGTCAGCAAAATGAACAACCCAAAATGAAAATTAGTATGACACCGCAATACGAAGGCTCAGTGGGATAGCAAAAGATGCCGTCCAAAAGCTAAGCAAAGTATTAAGAAAAAACACCGGAAATTTTCATTAGAAACAAAAAAAAATTACTGGACTGTGATGTAATATCAGCCCTCCTGTATGGCAATGAATGTTGGATAATCTGCTCACAAATGAAGAAGAGACTTGAAGCAACAGAAATGTGGTTCTACAGAAGGATGCTGAGGATACCATGAACTGATCATGTGAGCGACGACGAAATTTTAGAGAAAACGGAAGCAAAAAGGATACTTATATGAAATTTCTGTTGGGCATATATTGAGGAAAGAGGGCTTGGAAAATTTGATACTCCCAGGACATATTGAAAACAAGAGGGGACAGGGAAAAACATGGATAAAACAACGTGAGACATCTAGAAATTTCTGGGACATATAATGAGAAAATAGGGCTTGGAGAATTTGGTACACACAGGACATACTGAAAACAAGAAAGGCGGAATAAAAACAACGAGTAACATACGTCACTGGTGTAAATTGATGGCAGAACAAGGACTGAGAGTGGCAGTAAGGGGACACATATTGATTAGATCTGTAACGGAAAAGAAGTTGTGAAGAACCATGATCTCCTCCGTTGTGAAGAGACACGATGCATAGGTAAAGCTTGTAGAAATATCAACTCTTGATACAACGTATTCACATGTGACTGTAATGTTAGCACATACATCAGTTAGCCAGTAATGTGCCATGCGTGATACACGCTTAGGCGATCATGTATCTTTCGATGCATGACTGACGAGGCAGATTTTTCCCGCAGTAGGTTGCCATTTCTTTCTGCGGTAGACAAGTTGCCATCCAAGGCTATTTACACACAGCTGGGGGGGGGAGAAGAAGAGGATTCATATCTTTCCCAAATGAACATAATGGATTCAACTGGAAATCGAACTCGGCACTCCGATTCCTCAATTCGAACCACTATCAATTACACCACCGTACCTCGTGCATATACATACGTGTATCACTTACAAAGTAATTGTATAATTTTTAACATAATTTCCTTCTTTGTCACTGCACTTAATTCAGATGTAAACGTTAATCAAATTGAACGAACATTATACAATGAAAAATTCCGATCTAAATTCGGCGATTAACTACATGTCAAGCTTTGGATTTGTTATTCTGCTTCGATATATATGTCTGAGCAAACGTGCGTATGTTTGAGTGCATGAGCGTGCAGATTCTTAAAATGTGTGTGTGTGCTTGTGTATGTGTCCGTAAAAATGGATACTTTTACATATTCATTTCTGATTGGTTCACGGCATCAGTCATGTGACAGTCTGTACATTGCGCTTGATACAGTCAAGAGAGAAAGCAAGATGGTGTCGTTACATTGGGAAATAATAATGCCGAACAAGTTTAAAGTGTAAAATTTAAGCATTAACAAGATTTTCTTTGTATGTATGGGTTCCGGTGCTAGCATATATATATATATAGATAGATAGATAGATAGATAGATAGATAGAGAGAGAGAGGGGGGAGAGAGAGAGAGAAGTGCGTATTTTTTACAACTGTGCAGCCATATTTTTAAAAAATCCACGTCTACGTCCACATACTTGAAATGCGCATATATATGTACAACTATTTTAATCATATCCGTGTCTTAATTCTGATGACTGGCCACTTTCAACGTTGAGAATGAGTATAGTATTTTTTTTTTAATTTTACCACTGCCTGCGCAAATGAGTGTAGTTGTAGGACAATGGTTACCCAAGTAATCACTCACCCACTCTCTTTTCCTTCCGTCAATCATGCCCGGAAGTAGAAATTGCAGACCGAATGATCACACACGCCGTACGTCTCAATGAGAACACGAGACTTGAATCTTTCATATTTAACATTACATTTTATTTTACTACGTTATTTCACGAATTACTGGACCTTACATTGTCGCCTGCGATGTCCCAGAGAGACTGTACAGCTACTCACTAGGAGGGTTGCTTATATACCTATTTTATGTTATGCAACCCGTTCCCACACTTGTAGGCTTACGGCCATATCCCGTTGAAACACCTGTGCTCGTAAGATCACCGAAGTTAAGCAACTTTGTGTCTGATCAGTACTGAGATGGGTGACCGCTTGGATATACCAGGTGTGGTAAGCTTGGATGTGCGGGTGATGCAACATATAACGGCTAGGAATCAGAAATCAAAGTTCGAATTCCAATCGGGTTTGTTATATTCACTTATACGCAAATACCCTTGGAATAGGTATGAATCAACCTCTTCGTAGGAGTTGTATCAATAAATCATTATTATTTCCAAATCATTCTTAGAATCTAAAGATATTTACTTGCTTTAAATAACCTGAAAACGGTTGATAAGCCGTAAAAAATAATCAGTCAATCAGACCCACACTTGTAAAACTAGGTGCATCATCGCAATTCACGGAAAAGGAATGTGTGGAGCGTCATGATCACCATCATCTTGAAGCGACACGGTATAAAATGTAACTAATAATGAAATAAATACATTCAGAACGTTCAAACTATTGAAAATTAACTTAATTGAATGCATTTTTACTACAAAGTTAAAATAATTAAATTTAAATACTATATACTTCTGATCCTTCAGGTAATTGAGGACAGCTGGGCCGTAAAAACCAGGGGGTGCTTGGCTCCCCAAAACTTTTTACAGACGAGACAATAGCTTAAAATGTTTTTATAGTTGTTGTTTTTTTCAGACCCAAATAAAAAAGAACTAAGTAAAAAAGAATAATTTTTTTTCCTTCATTAATAAATCTATATTTCCCCTTGTAGATATTAAAAAAAAAAAAAGATGAAAAGTTCTTTCATTTGTAACAGAAATGGTTCTCTATTATTTCAAAGACAATCAAAGACAGGATAGAGGGACTGGAAATTTAAAATATTCTTGCTGCTAATCATTTTGGCGGCCTTTGATAGCTTAAGGCTAAATTCAAAAATTTGTTGCCCCGCCCCCTACCTCCCCCTGAAACATCTGTCTCTGCTACGGCCTTGGGACTGTATATGATATAAATATATATATATATATATATATATATATATATATATATATATATATATTGCATATGATATATATTATATATATATATATATATATATATATATATATATATATATATATATATATTCCATATGATATATATATATTTATCATATGCAATATATATATATATCATATATATATATATATATATGATATATATATATACTGCATATATATATATATATATATATATATACTATAAATATATATATATATATATATATATATATATATATATAATTTCTTCACAAGTGCATAGACGTATGTGATTATGTGTCTAAGTTGGTCTTCTGTATTTAAATATATTGGGAGGCGTACCAGTGAAAGTAAACTGTGGATGTACACACAAAGGTAGATCTTTCACCTATATACTGATGTATAATTATCCCTGTGAGTACTTGCTTTCTTTTTTGTTTTGTTTTTTTTTTTTTGCGCACGTGATTTTATTTATTTATTTTATTTCATTTCTTTCTTTCCTTTGCGTTGGTATGTGCTAATGCGAATGACTTGGAAATTAGGTTAATTCCATTGCTTACGTCGAAACATGTGTCATTTCCCCGACATGCAGAAAAAAAATAAGGTTGAACACTATTTTAAAAAAATCATCAACAAAAAACATATTTATTATTTAACTGTCCCCACTCCATTTCCTGCTAAAGTTAAGCGAAAATATTTCTATCGGTTGGTGCTTTTTTTCTGTTATTGTTCACCTAATTTAAAACCTAAGTGCCACTCAAGGTAGACGGTTACGGAATGAGAATGTTGTAAGGGCGTATAGGAAGGGAGGAAGGGTATTATGCGCATATGTAGAATAGATTGAAGGAATTTCGTAATAAAGCCTTTCTTTGATGAACGAGGGTTGATTGCTCTAGTTCTGCTGTCCATCAGCAAGAACTTGCAGAAGGTCGGAGAGCACAACGTCCGAAATACTGTGATAATATCAAGATGAAGACAATGGTCCGACTGTAAATAATGTAAATAATCATGCTATTCTAATTACCTACTTCGCCGCTATTGATTAGGAATCACCAAAATAAGACAGAATCCAAATTGAAATGTGCGAAACTGTACCTAGAATTAATTTATCATCTCTTCCATCTGGAACTGTGTTGTTTACAGTACATTTTAGTTTTAATTTAGAAAATTACAAAAACGATGTTCCGCCATCTGCAGCTTTTTGTTTTTTTGTTTTTTTTTAAGCGGGAATACCAACTTTTCATTTTGGAAACGTATTGTTACAGGGAATATCAACAGAAAAAAAAGAAAAATCAGTCGCTATCACAAAATGAAAAAACTAGTACCAACATCAAAAGCTGGATTCCACCCACAGAGCTGCTTGATTTGTGTTTGGTGTAATATGAAAAGTGTCGTCCATTACGAACTTATGGGACGGGGAAGGACCATCACTAGAGATTTTTATTGACACCAACTATGTTGGAATGATGAAATATTACGATGAAAGTCCGCTGTTTTTGGTAAACAGAAACAGCGTTATTCCCCAGCATTACAATGCAAAGGCACACTCTGCAAAAGGAAACCAAGAAAAAAATTAAGATCGTCAAAATGGACGCCCTTCAACTTCCTCTATACTCACCAAATTTATCGCCTACATATTTTTTCCGAAGATATTGAAAACAATCTTTCAGATGTTTTTTTTGTTTTTTGTTTTTTTGAGAAAAACACAAATTTCTTTAAACTGAGAATAAAAATGTGCCTGTTGGACTACAACCGTTGAAAGTGAGACGATTACATTTTTTATAGGATTTGAATAGATTTAGCTTATATTTGTGTGGGTTAACGAAATTTAACGTTTTCATATATCAAGAGCAATTTTAGGGGAAAGAAGCAGAAAAATGTGTAAAAAGTTTTTTGCGTGACTCGTTCCGTTCCCTAGGAATTTATCGGAATAAATTTCTGTTTACGTTGATGCAACTACACATGCGCAGGAACGAGAGACGCTGAGAATTTGAAATTTAAAGATGATTTTTTTTTTTTAATGTGTTTTCAGTATAAAATCTATATGATTTCATTTAGATTGTCTTTGCTTTTGTTTCCATCAATTTTGTTATTAAATATCCCCCATTGTGATAATAGATCTACCAACAATGGTGAAATGTTGTAAGTATCTGGACGCAAATTTACTATGAATGATGTAGCGATTGAAGCACTTTCTGAACACTTTCGTATTAGTAAATCGTTTCCTCTTTTAATTAGAGTAACATTTAAGATGTCTCTGGAGAACTTTTTGAACTGATCCAATCTTTCCTATCGAATCGTGAAATGAAAGTAATCCTGACCGGCCATTTTTCCAATTCTTTTTCGTACTAATATTACAGATTTACATCCTTGGTCCTACTTTGTGTTTGATTTTCATTAATGACCTTCTCGGTGACATTAGCGCTCAACTTGGTATCTACGCTGATGACAACCATTTACTCCTGTCTCGATAGTAAGTCTGATAAGGTCAGAATGGCAGCTGATATCTAAAACGATCTTCAGTCTGTTATTAAATGGGGCAAAGGATGGCTTGTTAATTTTAACGCTTCCAAAACTAAACCTACTCTCTATTAATCATCTGAGATAACCCTCTCTGTTTTCCATCAGCATGGCCGATGCTAACCTCCAGGAGAGTGACTCGCTGTGCCTTTTTGGGCTAACGTTCTTGGCTGACATGAAGTGGAAAGACTATATTGAATCCATTGCTAGGTCAGCTTCTAAGAAAATTGGTTCGGTGTGTCGTTCTAGACGGTTTTACTCTCCAGAATCTATCTTATATATCTATAAATCTATCATATCGTCCATGCTTCCAATATTGCTGCCACATACTGCTTCTATCTATCTAGAGTTCTTTGATAAAATCCAATGAAGAATCAGCTATATTATTTGTCCCGATCTGGCATCTCGACTTCAATCACTTTCCCACCGCCGTAAGGTTGCCTTCCTTTGCTTTTTCTATAAATCCTTTCATGGTAATTGTTCGTTATGGTAACTAGACCTTTCGAATTTAAGCGCAGTACTAGACTGACGACGATGCCTCGCCTATTTACAGTCGAGCTGGTTAGATGCAACCGTAAGTTCTATGCTAATAGTTTCTTTTCTCGCCATTTTCAGGACGCAATTTTCCATACTTAGGCAAACACTAAAACGATTTGAAATTGTCGAAAGTACTTGACATGTGTCTTTCATCTAACAACTCGATTATAAGGATCTTATTATTCAAGGAATTGATAGTAAGTTAATGTCTCATTAAGTCCTGTTAGTGAAGTGATTTCTACATTAATCACATTAACATTGCTATTTAATTCTTTGTGTAAATTGTTTCTTTATAATATAAAATATACGCTAATACACACATAGAGACACGCACGCACACACGCGCACGCACGCACACACACGCACGTAGCAGGGGTATATGTTGCGGCTCATTGGATAGTGGCGTCTCGTTCGTATTGACAAGTTTGAACGGAACACACACACACACACACACACACACACACACATATATATATATATATATATATATACATATATATATTCGAGCACTTCGACGTGGTGTAATAGTTGGGAAACATGTCCCGCTAAATCGCTTACAACTGAGTGGGGAGTTAGATCCTCACTGAATGCTTCTGTACTCGCTGCCTTGTGCCACATCTAACCTAAGCTTATTAAATCGCTGTATATATATATATATATATATATATATATATATATATATATATATATATGCAGCATCCATAAAGTTCATGGAAAATTATAATTATGAGAAACTTACGTAAATATTTTGCTATTTGTTTGCAGTACAATTAGTTATCTTGGAGTTGAATCTTATAACCTTTATGAGCCAGAAGTATTTCGACGTAAGAAATTTACGCCAGCTTAAAAAAAAACAGTCTTTAAGGTAACATGAATTTCAAAGAAACGGGATCAAAATCCTTTTAAAAATTCTAAGTGGAATTGTAACTGGATATGAAACGTGGTTTTGCCAGTTTGATTTCTGAAGACAAATCTGAGTAAAAGAAATGCATACCCAGAGGTAGGAAGGGTCCGGTCACGTCAAAAGTAAACCGGCCAGGAGG